ACAAACTATTAATACTAGACGTATGCCAAGAACGCACTTTACCAGAAGATTGGACTACTGGAGTTATATGCCCTATACAAAAAAAAAGAAACGTGTTTAACTGTTCCCACTGTAGAGGGATATACCTTACGTCGCTATAGGTAACTTTGCCCCAGTTATGAAAGTTTTGAGTTAGCCCAAATATACCGATTTCTTTTTGAGTCTCCTTTAACAATGGTTTTTCTTTGGCCTACTCGAATAAATCAAAAAATAGAAATTTTATATCACAAAGAAGAACCTATCAAACATATTTTATAAAATCTAAGACGTTTTTGTGGACAGCATTCTCTGGAAACATTCATCTCAGTTTCTCTATTCCACCTAGCAGTTACTTCTCGTAGTGTATTTCTTCTTTCCGAATTACATATTATAATTAAATGCCTTACACTTCTATGAATGTAGAACAAATTGAACAAATATCTTCTTATAAATACCTTGGAGCATGGATAACAGAAGATACTGATCAGACAAAAAAATAAGATGACGCATTGAAATTGCACGGTCAACTTTTAATAGAATGAGAAAACTCTTTTGTTATCGCGATATGAATATATCGCTCCGGATAAGAATACTTCGATGTTATATTTTTTTTTGTATGGGGTTGAAGCTTGGACACTTAAAAAGTCCAACATTAAAAACCTAGAAGCATTCGAAATGTGGTGGTACTAACGTATTTTGAAAATATTATGTATGTATCGCAAAACAAACGAACAAGTTCTCGAACAACTAGGAAAACAATGCGAAGTTTTAAATTCCATAAAAATCAGAAAATTGGAATACTTTGGGCACATCATGAGAGGTGAAAAATACGAACTACTAAGGAATATAATGCAGGGTAAAATCAAAGCCACAAGAAGCGTAGGAAGACGTAAAATCTCGTGGCTACGCAATGGTTTGGATGCAGATCAATTGAACTATAAAATAAAATAATAATTGCCAGAATGATTTCCAATCTCCGATGGGAGCGGAACTTGAAGAAGACACTCCTATGAAAAACAGCTTTTGGACGGCCTGAGCTTTTGCCGCGAATATCAATACTGGCAGTTTCACCATATTACAGTAGTTGTTACTATAGTCAATTTGTTGGAAATTTACTGCATTTTTTTCCCTTCATGATACTGATAAATAATAATTTTTCCACCTTTTGGATAAGTAGGTTTTTTTCACGTACCATTATTATATTTTACTAGTAATAAAACTGACGGTTGTTCATTATTGGCACTAAAATGACGCGGGACAATTATTGTTGACAACGCACTACCTACACGTATGTTTAATTTCAAAATCAAAGCCTTCTTTGCGTTAGGATGATAAAATTTAAGAAACGCGAGAAAAAACAAAAAATTTTTAGTTGTGAGCAGTTTTCGATTATCAAACAATTAATTAAATAGAAATTAATATAAAATATACAATTAAGCTGCAAAAATAATTCCATACATCATAAAATTTTTATATTCACAATTAAAAAAAAGAAATAAAAGAGTCTCGGTAAATTGGCATTATATTCGCAAAATAACTGCTTGTTTCAACATATAATTGTTAGGGAATGTACAAACAATGATATATGATGATGATATCGTGATTATTGAGAGAACCAGAAATAAAACAATTGAAACTTTCACAAGTATCAAAAATGCCACAGAAAACATCGGACCTCTGATTAACATGCAGGAAACTAAATATATGCCATCTACATCAAGAATGTAAAAAAGTAACTTAGAGGTCCAACACGAAACTATAGAAACGGTGGGAGAGTTCTGCTACTTTGGGTCACTGGTTGACTGCAAAAACAACACTTCTTCTTCTTCTTATGCCTTAAGTAATCCAATTGTGGACATAGTTTTTTTAATTCTATTTTGCGCCACTTGCTTCCAGTTGTATCCTCCGATCTTCTTAATGTCATCGGCCCATCTCATTTGTGGTCTTCCTCTGCTTCTCTTTCCTAACCATGGTCTCCATGGTTGTATCTCATGGTTCCATTTTTTATCCTTTAGCCGGGCATTGTGTCCTGCGAAGCCCCATTCTAATTTGGCAGCATATTCTCCTGCGTCTTTTACTTTGGTGTTGTTTCTAATCCATTTGTTTGTTTTTTTGTCTATAAGTCTCACCCGAGCATGATCTTTTCTTCGCTCTTTGTGATTTTACTATTTTATCCATATTAGACTTGGTGAGTGTCCATGTCTATGGACACAGCCACCTTTACGTATAGGGAGGATACACTGATCGTAAATTCTGGTTTCAAATATTGTTCTGTTTTAGTACCTTTTAAGATCCAACTCAGTTTTCCAAATCCTGCCCATGCTAACCTTATTCTTCTGATAATTTCGGCAGTTTGATTTGCTTTGTTAACTTTTATTATCTGTCAACGTTATTTCTATAATGTTCGGTGTATTTGTCATTTTTTTTTTTTCAAGTTCAAATTTAAGACCTACTGTTCCGAAGCTTAAAATAGTTGCGTCATCATGGTCTGTAATTCTTCGAAACTTGTAGCGAATATTACAATGCCATAAGCGTATCTCAAATGACTCAGTTTTCTCCCATTAACATTTATTTCTTTATCTACCCAGTTAATATCTTTGAACACGTCTTCCAGTCTGTGTAAATAGCATAGCATGAGATAATATCTCACTGGCGATGTGAGATATTATCTCATGCTATGCTATTTACACAGACTAGATAATACACATGAGATAATAACTCCTCTGTTGATTGGTATAGCTTTGGTTTTCGCATCTATTTGTATTTTCATTGTAGCTTTTTTGTAAATATTATGTATGAGCATTCTGTATCGGGAATCCATCCTGCAATTGTTCATAGCCCATAGTTGTTCTCTATCGCCCAAAGTTCTATGGAGTCGCATGCCTTTTCAAAATCAACGAAGCCAATGTAAAAGTTCAAGTGATATTCATTGGCTTTCTCTATTAGCTTTTTGACTGTAAGAAGATGATCCGTTGTACTGTAACCCTTTCGGAATCCTGTTTGCTCTACCGGCTGATAGCTATCGAACTTCGACGTTAACGTGTTAGTTATTACTCTCATAAACAGTTTGTACATTTGGGACAGCAGGGAGATTGGCCTATAGTTCTTCAGATCTCCCCTGTCTCCCTTTTTTGAAGAGAAGTATTGTCAAACTTTCATTCCATTCATCTGGGACTTCTCATCTGTGAAAATATTCGTTGAAAAACTCTTTGAGAATAATTTTACTCCCCTCCTTCAACATTTCTACAAGTATCAAAGTATTCCATCTGGGCCCGGAGCCTTATTGTTCTTTAGTTGTGCCATAGCATGTTTTATTTCGAAGGATTCTATGTTAGGGAGTACTCTTAAGATCTTCCTTTATAGTGTTATTTGGGATCTTGTTTTGGAATATACGAGTAAATCACGGTAAAATATTTGAGTAACTTTTAGGATTTCGTTCTTTTCTTTTATTCCTTTTTCATCTTTATCCTTCAATGATTTATTATTATAGGCTTTCCTAAGTTTGATCTTAAGCATTTCAGGCCTCGGTTTTTTTCTATTATTTTTCTACCTTGTTTTCATTATAAATCCTTAAATCTTCCTTTACTCCCTTCTTTATTTGTTTATTCAATTCTTTGAAACCATTGGTGTTTCGCTTTCCATCGCTTAGAAATGTGCGTCTCTTTTCCATCAAACGATTTGTTCCATCACCTATTCTGTCTTCTTTATTTTTCGTTTTCTTTGCAACAGTCAGTCCTGCTTTCAAGAGCTTTCGTTGCATTTCTTTATTAATTGTGCTCATGTCGGAGTATTCTTGTTGATAATGTTCTACAAATTCTTTTCTTAAGACTTCTCTGTACTCATCTCCCTCCTGTCGTATTTTAGTTTGATCTATCTGATTATAATAATTATATGGCCTATTTTTACTGATTTCCGTCTGTTTAATATGAATCCTTGCTCTTAAAAGGCGATGATCGCTGCCAGTTTTGAATCGATTGAGAGTAGTTATCAAAACAACACATCCAAAGAAATAAGAAAAAAATATGCGTGGCTAAGACACGAAGAGGCAGAAATATGTCAAGAGCAACAAAGTGCAAACTTTATAAAACAATACTACGCCCAGTGCTCACTTAAGTATCGGAAACATGGGCAATGACTATTCGAGATGAAGAGCGAATTGACTTTTCTTTCAAAGAGCAGAGTTGACGAGCAGGGATTGTGGAAAAGGCGATATCATTTCGAACTCTATATACTTTTTGGTGATGCAAAATAAACCGCCCAAGATGAGTGGGCTACGTTATGCGGATGAATGAAACTAATCCTGCTAAAATATCTATGCTAAATAGGTCTATCGGAAGAAGAAAAAGGGGCGATCCAAACTCAGATATCTAGACAATGTGCAGTACGATTTCAGGAAGATTGGGGTGAGAGATGGAAAAAGACAGATATTCGACAGAGAAGGATGCAAAAATGTATTGAGGCAGACCATTGTTCACGAATTTCTGTAGTTTCAACTAATGATGATGATAATCTTGGAATTTTTAGGACCAGATAGAAGAAGCAAGGGAAGACATATATCCAATAATGTTGATATGATGGAGGCTTTGTCAAGTTCTGTCATGAAAGTATATTATATAAACTACATAAAACGTAGTTAATGTATTCATATGATCGATGTTGATGTACATTTAAGCAATAAAGCGCAAAATATTTAAAAATAGCCATATTTCAACATATTAAAGTTTCCATCGCAGTTATTTACCATATTTCGAATAATACTCCAGTTATTCGTCACGAGATCATCATAAGTTAAACCTGGCACTTTTAGGACAATCTTCTCTATTTATCTATACATCAATTTCAGTCTTGGCACCCACAAACAATTTTGTACGTTTTCTATTGACCAAAATTTCGACCAATATCCATTGCTTTATGTACGTCACGTATTTAAAAATAAGTAACGACGCTGAACGACGCTTGGCGTCTTTACTAGGGTCAGTCAGTTATAATTTTGGCGGCGCGGATGCAAAAAGTGTTTAACTTTTTGCATTTTTCTCAGTCGACCAAAGTTTTTCTTGTTCGTTTATATCTTTTTAAAGAAATCGGAACGTTTGGATAATATTCCGGTACAAACAGTTCGGTTAACTTACTCAGGAATCAACAGGTGGGATTTCGTTGAGGTAAGTTTACATAACATCTGGAATTATTTATATTCGAAGAATGTTAAATATGTTAATCTTTTTTTTTCAATTTAATTTATCTTTTTACTCATTCATATTTAAAAATATTTTGAACTTTTTTTGAATGCCCGCTATATGCCTTTTTACTTTTTACTCATTCAACATCAGTGCATGATAAAAATTTATCTGGATTTTCATCACCTAACCTTTACTGGATGCCAAATTTTTTGAACTTGGAAGGTCATATTGAATTTTTTTATCTGTGCAATTTGATTACAGTATTTTAAACGATGCAAGGCTACAATTTTTTTTTTCGGTAAAATACTGTCAAGATTTCCGATATCGTGTTTATATTAACATTCTTAACGCATAGGTCAGTTTCATATTATCATTGTATTATCATATTTTCACACCACTTTGTTTACAGTGGCCCTACTATACATGTGTTGTCAGTCATGATCATCAATAGCTTTTCCATTCACCGTCGGATATAAGCCTCCTTTAGGTATGCCATTCATTTCTGTTTGTTGTTTTTTGCAACCATTCGTGATCAGCCATTCACTTGATGCCATCAGTCCATCTGGTTTGAGATCTGCCTCTTTTGTTTGTTCATGCTAGCCATTCAATAATCCGCTTCGGCCAATGGTTGTCTTCCATTCTTCCTATGTGTTCTGCCCTTCTCTTAACATGCCATACACCAAAGTGCGTAGGCGACTATCTCATTACTAGAATTCTGTTCTTGGCGGCGTGACACAGCTCACCTGTATTGTGTATTCCTGTCCATTCTTTAATATTCCTTAACCAGGATAATTGTTTGCGGCCGGCTTCTCTCCTACCTTCGATCTTCCCTTGTAGGATTAACTGTGGTATTTCATATTTTGCTCCTCTCAATATGTGCCCAAGGTAACCAATCTTGCGTTTTTTAATTAATTCAAAGAGTTCTCTTTCCACGCCGGCTCTATTAAGGACGTCATCGTTTCGAACTCTATCCACCCAAGGTATGCGCATCATTCTTCTCAATGCCAATCACCATTTTAATATGCCAATCTTTTGGATTACATCTGTAATTTTTGTTCATCTTCTTATTTCTTCATTGGACTTGCGATCGTTGAGCTTAATGTTGAGCATTCAACGTTTCATAGCTCTCTGAGTCACTTTCAGTTTGTGGACTCATCATCATCATCATCACACAGCCAAATTTGTCCACTGTCGAACATAGGCCTCCTCAAGATGTCTCCACTCTTCTCTGTCCTGTGCAGCTGCGATCCAGTTTGTCACTATTATTTTAATGTCGTCCGTCCATCTGGTAGGTGGTCTTCCACGATTTCGCTTGTCTGCCCTTGGCCGCCATTCTAAAATCTTCTTTGTCCATCTGTTGTCTCTCTGTCTTGCGACGTGTCCTGACCATTTCCACTTCAACTTCGTAATCCGTTTTATGACGTCTTCCACTCGGATGAATGATGAGATACGGCGAAGAACTGGAGTGGAAGAGTGGAAGTTTGTGGACTATGTTGTTGTTAAAAGTCTATGTTTCAGTTCCATATGTCAGTACATGCAGCACATACCGATTGAAAGTTTTTGCCAATAAAGTATTTTATTATTAATTATTGATTAAAGTATTTGATGAGTTTGATTTAGATACTGTTTGTAATCTTCCAAATATTACCCATGCTAAGAAACATCTTCTATTTAAGTCAGTCTTTATGTTATGCTTTGTTAATTCGATTTTTTGACATAAGTGTACATATATATTTCTTAACCTTTTCTATAGTATTATTGTCCAGAGTTATATCCTCAGTTATATCTAGAGATTTATTTAATCATCCACGTTAGTTTCATCATTAGTGTTTATATTAGATTCTTCATCATCTTTTAAATTAATAATTAATTAATTTTTTTATACTCTTCTTCTGTTGCTATTACTTTTTTAATTTAATTAGACCTTTCTAGTTTGGTTGCTCAATGATTTCAAATTGTTCTTTAATTCATTTTACAACATTCGAGAAAACTTTCGGTGAAAATTTATGTTTCAATTGAACCCATAACAGTTCAATTAGATTTAGCACACAATGATATTGAGGTAGTCTTAAAACTGTGTGTCCATTATTCATTGCAAAGTTATCAATAACATACTCTTTTTCGTAAACACGGGTGTGAAGAACTTCTAGTCTAGTAATTATTAAAACTACAAGGAAAAAGTGGTAATAACTGTTTCAAAAATTCTTACAAAATTGTGTTCATCTGTGACTGGACTATTTGTTTATGACCGCTCAAAACTTAAAGACCCCACTTAAATACAAAAATGACTTTGTAATAATAATTTGTTGGCAACTATCAGTAAGTACTACTTACTACCCTATTAGAAGCTATTGACCGGTGCTTTTCTTGAATGACCTACATGAAGCATTTGTAGGCGGTTTGGAGATACATGGTTTGATTATAAGACTTTATGTAGATAATTTGGTTTTGATGGCAATCAATCCAAAGGTATTACAGCAAATGATTCATGAACTGCAAAAATACCGCAGGATATGGAATCTGATAATAAATTTAGATAAATCCAAAATTCTTGTATTCAGAAAAGGAGGTGGTGTGATCAGAGAATCTTGGAAACTGAATGGTCGAGTATTAGAGATAGTGGATAACTATAATTATTTGGGAATGATAGTTACACCCAAGTTGTCGATTAAAACTCATCTAAAAAAGCGCCAGAGTTTGATAATAGTGGCGATTCACACGGATTAGAGTACTTTAGTGTCTAAGGCTGATATACCCTTTTTGGGAGACTTATGGGTCTCAGGTATGGGGTATTTTTGAGTACGATGAGGTGGAAATAATCAGAAATTTTATTTAAAAAAAAATGTTTTCTTGTTAAACGTATTGTCCTAACTTTATGTTAGATTTGGGGGCAGATATTGTTAGAGTCAGCCTATATACAATAAATTTACATAAAAAATATATTGAAAAAATTCTAGGATATTCGAATGATTGGTTGCCAAAATTTCTTTTGGAAGAAATAATGAGAGTAAGGTGTGGCTGGTGGAAAGATTGGATGAGCATGGGAGAAAAAGTTGGTATTTAGGTAAGGTGTGAATGGGAATGGAGAGATAGCTGTCTAGAATGAATGAGAGAATGATAGAAAAACGGAAGGAAGAGATACAGTGTCAAGCTAAAAATAAACAAAATTCAAGAAGAAGTAAACATGCATTATCTATTGGAACTGGAAAATTTTGTGGACATTCAATGGCTATTCAAATTAAGATGTGAAGAATATTTGAATGATTGACCTGTCAGAAATGATAAAAGAAGGTTTTGCTCAATGTGTAACACCAAAGAAAGGGAAGATGTGATACATTTTTTGGAAAAATGTTTGGTGTTGAGACAGATTAAATTAAAGTGGTTATGTAGAAATGAACTTAGTAGAGCGGAAGTAGTTACTATGATGAAACAGGGATAAGCTAGCAGGTTATAAGAGGGAGGCATGACCGATAGGTATGACTTAGTGAGCCTATTTAATTACTACATCGATTAGTATAGTGTTAGTTCAATAGGATGAAAATATTAAAATTAGCATTAGTAATTTAATTGCGTGTTACTATTATCTTTTTATCTGCCTTGTCTATCTTGACTATCTTGTTATTATTATTGTTATCCAGATTTAGCCATACGGCTCACACTCCCTCTAAGAGGAAAATTTACTTATCCCAGATACCTACGGTATAAAAAGGATTGAGCTCTGGTGGGACTCTTTTCATGTTATCGAGTCCTAGGTGACTTGGTGCAATAGTACAGTTTTCTGCATATCTTATAAAGATGTTCATTTAGACCCAGTTTTTTTATGTTTTCTATTAGGTTCTTCGGAATGACTCCAGTGGTAGAAAGAATAATAGGTATCGTCTAAACACTTTCCATTCTCCATTGTCTCCTTATTTGTATTTCCATATCTCTGTACTTGGCGATCTAGTTTATTAATTAGCACGAGATCTGGTCTATTATGTGCTACAATTTGGTTTGTGAGCACAGTGTGATCCCAGTATAGCTTGTAGTTTTCAATCTCAAGCACACTCTCAGTAACGTATTGATAATATGGGAGATGGCTTGTTTGTAGAAGTCCCCGTTTAAATGCTATCACTTAATGGAGGATCTTCCCTACTGAGTTATGCCGTTACTTATATTCAGTTGCAACAAATGTCTGGCTGCCTCCTGTAAGATGTTGAATGGGTTCTTCGATTATTATTTCCTTATAGTCAATTTTCCGCGCTTGCTTTACTCCTAGGTATTTATACATTTTTCATATCGAATTCTCCGGGCTAAACCTTTCCCTTTATCCTAGTACACGGCACTTGTCTAACTCAAAGTACAAACACATCATTTGAAAAAGTTTATACAGTTTTTAGCATTTGATCTAAGTGATTTCGAGTGTAAGCCATTAGTTTCAAATCATCCATATACAACAGATGATTAAGCTTCGCCACTACAGTGTTGTTGTTTTTAATGCTAAAGCCTGAGTCAGTGTAGTTCAATGGCTGGGATAGTTGATTCATCGCTAGACAAAACCACAAAGGACTCAACGAGTCTCCTTGGAATAAGCCGCGGTTAATTGCGATATTTTCCGTTTCAATATTGTTTTCACCAGCTATTTTGAGGTGAATTTTAGTCTTCCAATCTGTCATTATATGTCTTAAGAAGGTCACTATATTATCATAGATATATTTTTAATATATCTACCAGCCATTCATGCGGCATTGATTCAAAGGCTTTCTCATAGTCAATAAAGGCAGTGAAGAGGTTCCTTTTTTTGGTGTATACCTGATTAGAAATGACTGAGTCGATAATAAGTTGTTCTTTCGTTTTTATCGTGATTAATTTCGTACTCATCATCTTCAAGTTTCTGCCAAATTGCCAATAGTTTGGCTTGTTCTTTTTCGCAATTCATTCTAGAGAAAAAAGTTTATATGTACAACAAATAACGCCACGAATTAAAATTGTCTTAGTTACCT